TTATTTTTATTCTCACAAAGCACGTGAAATTGACTCAATATTTTAAAATCGCAACAATCTTGCAGGAATAATGTCATTGTTTAGTCAATGTTGTCAATTTTGCTAAAATTTTATATGCTGTAACAGTTATTTATATAATTAGCACACAATTTATCTCTTTCAAATAGTTTATCAGAACATTTACCATTTGTCCCGATAAAAACAATTTTTTCTTTTTTGCCTGAGACGTTTCACAGACGGATACAAAATAACTCTGTGTACAAATTACATATTTATTTTGCTGTGCAAAAATATTACTTTTCACTAATAAAACATTGCACTGACACGAACAAAAAGGCATAAAATTTTTTGGAATTATTCCTGTGTATTTACACTGTACAGATAAAATTAATTATTTAAAAAAAATCTCTCAGTTTATATAAAAAAATGAATTTGAGAAACAAAGAGTAGAAATACTTTCAATTATAAAAAATAAATGTAATAGTTTTTACAGGTGAGGTTAAGTTTATTTCACCGTAAAATACAAAACAAATTGAACGGTACTTTTATTTAAATATTTATAAATATTTAAATAAAATTCTTCAATTATATCCCAAGTAGAAATGTGCCACTGGCATAGTACTGACCCAACACTGTCAGTCAGTATAACAGTACTGTCTGCCGTACTGGGTCAGTAGTGGGCCAGCCCTGGCTGGTAACGCTGTCCAGTACTGATTTTGTCTCGCTCACCAGTACTAACGTAGTACTGGAATAATACTGGCATAATACTGGTAAAGTACTCATCCGGAGTTAAAATCTCATTTTTTTACAAAATACTATATAATACTCTTTCCATTACAAATTTCATCCTTATAAGCTTATTACTCCCATTTTTACCACGAAAAGGTAATGTGAGGGTAATAATAGTTAATTTAATTTAGAATATATAAAATATTATTAATAATAAATAATTAAAATAATAATTATCATATATGTTAATTAAATTATATTATTTTTAATAAATTAATTTACAAAAAATATTTTTGTAAATTAATTATTTTTTAATTCATACTATTTAATTTTTTTTTACTTTGCACTTATACTTAATTAATTATTTAATAATTAATATTACAGATAAACAAATATTGTACTTATAACACTTAAAACTAAGAATGAAAAATCTCGCACTCATGAGGGATCGAACCCTAAACCCTAAGAACGCAAGTCGGATACGCATACCGCACAGCCGCGCTGGCTTGATGTGCTGACTTGAAGTAGTTTACCCTGATGCAAAAATTTGATTTCGAAGACCGTATTATCTATTAATCACGAAAATAAAATGTATTTATTCTTGAATTTTTTTATCTTACAAAATTTTTAACTAATACAAACAAATATATTTTATATATATAATAATAATACATTACAATTACATCAAAAATTTTGAGAGAAAGTATTGGAAAGAAATTAATAAACATATTTTTTAATAAAAAATCATCGTTTTCTACCTATTGGAATAATTTAAAGACTTTTTCATTTAATGTTCTTTTACCACCGACATAGTACTGATTCGGTGTGAATGGCAGTGTTCTGCTAGTACTGGTTTTAATATTTGTCTACCTTCGATATAGTACTGATTCGGTGTATTAGTCAGTACACTACCAGTACTAAAAGTCAATACCGGCGGCCAGTATTGGATCAGTACCAAACCGATGTTTAATTACGGCGAGCTACGGACATTTCTACTTGGGATGGTTCACAATTTTTTTTTCTATTGTGCACATGAAAAAAATTTGATTGTAAATAATAAACTAACGTTCCCCTTTCGAGCGAAACACAAGTTCCAAATCATGACTGTGTGTAGAAAGTATATATATAGAGAAACAAAAAATAGACACAGCAAACATGTCTAAAATGGTGTCTAATAACAATAGTGGCACCATCTGCGGGGACATGTATGCAACTATACCTTACCATACTTATACTTCGCTAGGTATAAGTAATGACAATACATTGCATATTGGAAAATACTAATTTTTATTATTTTTATTGACTAATTCCTCCTTTTTCATCATTTTCCATCATTAAATACCATTTCTTAATATTCCCTGATCATATTTCATTTAATTTTAGTTATGTTTTAAATATAAACAAAGAATGTAAACAATAACAAAGGATTGTTTACAATCAAAATAACAACTTGGACATGCCCTTAAATTTTAAAATTTCATATTTTGACTTTTGCAAAACAAATTGTTTATAACAATAACACTGATGTTCAAAAAATTATTTAACCATAAAAATCTTGTTCAGCATAAAAAATAAATAAGGAACACTTATCTAGACCCTTTGAAATATAAAATGTTTTAAGAAATCTATTTTAATTAGTAGTAAAACTTTAAACGAGTTCTTCTCGAAAAGTTGATTTTGATCTATAGCACCGTTTTCTCAGACCCGGTCACATATGTGTACCTTTGAAACAGCCTATGCAGCACGTAATATTAATGTAATATTAAAAAAAAGTCAAACTGCATTTAAAAATATTTGACTGATTAATTATTATCTTTTTTTGCTTTATCATGAAAAGTTCTAAAATTTGATGTATTTCAAATAAGCGTGTAATATTAACCCGTAAGATTAACATGAGGCAAATATTTTAATATGACTGTAATAGTAACCTTACATGAAGCTTACAACAACCTTACCGTAAAAGCTTAAAACAACCTTACCATGTAAACTTACCACAACCTTATTGTGTAAGCTTACCTTAGCTTTACTGTGTAAACTTACTGTAATCGCAGAAGTTTTAAGGTGACCTCAAGTTTACTGTAGGCTTACACGGTAACCTTACAAACCCTACAGATATCCTTACAGTAACTTCACAGCAAGAAGTCATGCCATGTGGGAGAAGAAAAACACGCGCGTTTGTTTTAGCTAGTTATATAATAATGATTATACAATAATGATACAAAATTACAATTCTCTTACTTACTTTTAGCAATAAAGTCGGATAAATTGATGATTATAGCTTAGCCGTTGTAAATTGGATTTGATTTGATAGAAAACTGAAGGATCGCTCTACAATGTTAGAGATTGCACCGGAACTTAGTCGATTATGCTAATTAGTAGGAGAAATGTCACATTATTGAGGAGGAGGTGATCTATAAATAGAATCGCTTTCCTTATATTGCAATGATTTACATCGCATATGACAATGAATGTTCTTCTATCTGAATTCTTTCTTTTCCCTGCTTAAATTATCAGATAGAAACCGGATGAAAATCGGTTTTAATCTGGTCTTGATGGATATTTTACCAGGTTTTTGTGTCCGCATTTAATACCAAATTTTTTTGAAATATTTTTGGTTGTATATGTTGTTAATCCAGCAACCATATCAGAAAATAGAAATAAGTTGTGTATTCTCATGGTTTCTTAATGAGATTAATCGGCTTTTGTCCGTTATTATATTTTGAAATTAAAATAAATAAAATCAATAACGGTTATTAAGTGTTCTTGTTTGGTTCTTATTTGGCATAATTATAACCATTATTTTTTTAAATAAATGTAAAATTGCATTTTATTTGATTTTATCTGCTTTATATGCAATGACTAAAACAGAAATTTTTTTGGGTATTTATTGTCTTTAGTACGACGCAATTTGTCTGTTTAAATCAGAAACTATTTATGATTTTTATGTTTGGCCTTTATACGTTTCTAACCGAAACATTTTAGGAAATTTTTCATTTAAATTGTATATAATTTTAATCTGCTTCTTAATCGTTTTTTTTCATCTATTTTAAATTATGTTAAAATGAGGTGTGTCTAGATTTGTCTAAAACAGGATGGAAAAAGTGAAATATCGAAATTTATCCGATTTTACTGGATTTTCTATATGGTTTTTGTATTCGATATTTAAACGTTTGTAACTGTTAATTAGTAGTAGTATGTTCATGAAAATATAATCCGAAATTTATCCGGTTTTCCATTCGGTATTTAATTGTTTTTCTTGCAATTTCTTCTCAAGATCTGATTAATGAAATGTATCTGATTTTGTCTGAAACTGGTAAGAAAGTTAAATATCGAAATATATCCGATTTTGCTGGATATTTTATACGATTTTTGTGTCCGACATTTAAACGTTTGTAACTGTAAATTAGTAGCAATATGATTATCAAAATTATGTCTGAATCTAATCAGGTTTTTTCTTCGTTACCTAGTGTAGAAATTGAAACCAGGTGCTTAGCAGGACTTCATCAGGCAAAAATAGGGTATGGTCAGGAAAAAAATATAATGAAATTTACCATTAATTATCAGAAAAAATTTTTTAGTACGTTACTTTGAAGCAAAATAAATTAATATTAAAAATATTATTTACAATTTGGAAAGTTTCTTTATTAAACAATTATCTTAAGATAATTGTTTAATAAAGAAATAAAAAGTACTTGAGCACATTTAATTATTATTAAATTATACTATACAAATTTAATTCAAAAAAATATAATTAAAATTTTTTTATGCAAAAAGTTAACTTACTTTTTTCTGCATTCGCAAAATAGTTGTCAAGTGAAACGATATCTTCGAACTCTTTTTGTGATATTTTTTTGCATTTTTTAAATTATTATTTCGGGTATATTTCTTATTCGTAATCTTATAAATGGACATTAATAAACAAAATTTACGTCAAACAATTGATTTTTAATAAAATTGCCTTAACCTTTAAATTTTTTTAAATTTAAATTTACAATAACTATTTACTTTTTAAGAAAAAAAATTTTTTTGTATAAAAAGAAGTAGAAGAAATATGTTGTATTATATGTATTTTAAAAACAGACCTAAAAAGGATTTAAATATATTATATGCAATGAAAACAATGAGAAATTTTATTAAATTAATAAAGCTTATTTATTTTTAAATTTAAATTGAAATAAAATTTTTATAATTGATAATAACACTTGTACACTTTGGTACATAAAAAACTGCATTTACACTTATTTTAATCAAATTTTTGGATGTATCACATATTAATTGTCGCGTGGATTTATTGTAAAATACTGTTTTCGAGTCACAAGTTTTTAAAGTAAGATGAATAAAATTTATTTCGTCTTTAAGTATAAACTGAATTATGCTTTAATTTTATAAAATATCCAAGATTCTAAGAGTAAAACTACGGTTAAATTCAGTCTCTTTGTAAGTAATGAAAGCATAGAAAGTATATACTACTCTCTTAGAACTTTTACTTATTATCAAAAAAATCTTTCTAAGTGATATACTTTCATTTCCAACAATTCTGCATTTTCAAGGACAAAAATTAAAGCATTAAAGAGAAACAAGTACTTAAATGTTTAAATTTGATTATAAAAAAATAATTGTTTTTTCTCATTTTATATTCAACTTTAAGCAATCAAAGCTGAATATTGTGGAAAAAAATGTAGCTTTTCAACTTAACTTTTTTGATGGCCTTAGTAATAAAATATATATTCTTTTCATATAATAAGGCGCTCATTACTAAAAAAATAATGTTTTAAACAAAGAAATTATATATTTATCTTAATCATCGTCTTCAGTAGGTGTGTCTACTTGAAAGTTTTCCCTATCGGAAAGCTCCTCATCGAGTTGTTCTTCTTCTGAGAAGTCAGTAGTATTGTCTGACTCTGGAGGGTCACTCTTTTCACGCGTCTGAAGATCAGGTTGTGTAACTATTCGGGAATTGGATATTTCTTCATTCTCATCGCTGTTACTTTCATTATCTTCTGGAGAGATTGTTTTCTTTGATTTTAATTTTCCATTTTCACTGGCAACACTCTCTCCATCACTACTTTCCTCTTCTTCCATAGGAATTATTTTCTTTGACTTCACTTTTGACTTCTTGGTCCTGTTTTTCCTACTCGGATTTTTTCTGTTTAGATCGCTAATTTGTTTGGATAATGTTGTACCAATACTTTCCATAGCGTTTAGAATTTTATCTTCATCAATCTTCCGTTCCACCATCCAAAATCTTGTAATGGCTTTAAATATAAATTTTAACAATGAATATAAGAAACTTATAATTAATCAATATTATCAAAATTATTGTAAATAATTTTACTTAAGCATTTTGATGTTTTTAATTATGAAAAAGGTAAATAACAATAAATTACCTTTCAAAGCATTCACCTTTCTGGAATTTAATGCCGTTCTTGGGGTGACATTAACTTTGTTTCTGTCTTTATTAGACAATTGTCCAGTAACGCTCGATGCTTTTAAAACCTCCACTGTAAATATTGCTCTAGACATGGATCTGATAAATTTTGTAGAACAACCTTTCGACTTGAACTTCGCTCTCCCATAATCATCTTGCGGGATCCAAATACCGTATCCTCCATGAATCTAAAATTGAAGCAATCAAATAAACAAAAATTAAATTTTTTAACTTTATTAGTTTCTTGCTAAATAAAGGTTTTAAAGTTTTCACGGTAAAATCTTTGTTTGGTAGAAAAAATTTCTCAATGTTTTATTTGTTGAAATAAATTCTTAAATATAAACTTATGAATTATCTTAAATCGTAAAAATTAATACATTTCAACGGTTAAAAAATTAGTTTACAAGAAATAAAGATATTATTTTCACAAAAATATTTTAAAACAATGAGATTGTCAGTACTGTCAGAAAAGAAAGAGAAAAGAAAAAAAACTAAACTTTTTCATTTCATGCACCACGCAGGAATGATTTTAAAACTTACTGTTTGACTAATGCGATCAATTGTTCCCACTGGTAAATCTTCACCGCTTGCTATTCGATCTTGAAGACTTCTCTCAGATGTTTCATTAACAGTTTGAAGCGAAGCTGCAAAATAAAGTTGATCAAAAATATTATATTTTTTATTCTTTGGCACACCTTCAAATTTCCAAAATTCTAAAAAGTGTAAAAAAATATCGTAATATAAAATTTTATAAATATGTACATAAATTATACAATATATACATTGAATACTCGGAAATTTGTCGACGACTTTCTGCTGCAGTTCGATGTTTTGAGCACTTAGAACTTTATTAATCCTCATAGTATCAATTAATTGTCGTTTTAAATTTCGGATTTCTTGTTCCCGTCCTTGTGAATCTTGCAAAATCAAGTTAGCATCAATCTAAAAAAAAATAATTGACCAAGTCACATGTAGTGTACAGCTGTTGTTGTTAATGGTGCTATTGGGTGTCTAATCGTATATAAAAATGTATAAATAAATAATACTTCTGAAATAAGTGCTGCATCACTAGTTTCCTCATCGCTGCTGGTATCAGATGCATCAGATGCGTGTCTGGCATTGGAGGTAAAACTAGTATCTTTGGCTGTAAGGCTGCTTTTCACTATTTGGTTGATATCGTCAATGCGGCTGGCTTTGGCTGTGAGACTACTTTTCACTATTTGGTTGATATCGTCAATGCGGCTGGCTTTGGCTGTGAGACTACTTTTCGGTGTTTTGTTGGTATCGTCAATGCGGCTACCTTTGGCTGTGAGACTGCTTTTCGGTGTTTGGTTGGTATCGTCAGTGTGGCTGCCTTTGGATGTGAGACTGCTTTTCGGTGTTTTGTTGGTATCGTCAATGCGGCTACCTTTGGCTGTGAGACTGCTTGTCGGTGTTTGGTTGGTATCGTCAGTGCGGCTGCCTTTCGCTGTGAGACTGCTTTTCGGTTTATGGCTGGTATCTTTCGCTGTGTGGCCGGATATCGGTGTTTGTTTTAAAATTTTTGTTGGTGTACCTCCAGAAGCAGAAACGCCTTTTCGTTTTGAAGTTTGAGACTGAAAAATTGTAAACATTAAAAAATTTAATCTATTAACGATTTCAAAAAGTAGAACAATTAACAAGAAAAAAGATGTCATTTCAATTAATATCAATAATTATAACTCTGATATTTTTTAATAAAATACCTGCGATTGTTTGTTGATATTATCTGGGTTTGGCAAGACTTTTTTGCTTTGAGTGCCTTTTAAAGATTTTTTCGAGTCTGTTTTAGGTTCATGGAAAACACTTCCAGTATACTGATTACCAAGTGTAATCTAAGATAATCATGCAAAAATTAATTATAAGTTTTTTTTATTTTTAACATTTTCACTATAAATAAGTTGGTAAAAATGCATTGATGAAAATTTGTTAATAATAAAAGGTGACGTTTAGAAAAGTTCAGAGTGATTGATATTTTGATTTATTAAAATGTATGTCCACGTTCAAAATAATAAAAACTTAAAATAGGGTAAACCAGACAGCAGTTGGACACTGTAGGTATAATCTTTCAATTAATACTGCATTAAAAAGTTCAATTACGATTTATTTTTAATTTCATTTACGTTCTTACGATTATTGCAAAAGTATTAACTATATCCATCGAATGAAAGAAAATGTGTTTATAATAAAAATTTCAAATAATTTAATATATCTTACATCAGGTACAGTCAGCTTTTGCATCTGAAGCACTTTCGCTGTCAGCAATGCAGCTTTTTGTTGTTTTCTTTTAGTCTCTAGTAATGCAGTAACCTACAATTTTCAGTAAGAAATTCTTCAAGATAGTTTAAAGGAATTTTTCAGAAATGTTCAACTCGAAATAAATAGTAAACATTTTGATTTTTAAAACATATTAGTTAAAATCAAATAATAATTTTTTTATAAGATGATTTTTAAAGTATTATAACCTGTAAGTATATATATACAGATTATGAACTCTAAACAATAAATTATTGAACACTTAGAAAATCTTATTAATTAATCTAGTCGATTTCATATTTTTTAGAAAAACTTTGTTATATCGCATTAAATATGTTTTCCCTGTAGTTTCTATAAAGAGATAGCTTATTAGAGACTTTTTTAATTTGAAAGTATTAAACTCTTTTAAATTAGTTTTAAATTACTTTAAATTACTTTTAAATTTACTTTAAAACAGTCGTTGTATGTGTATACAATAAATTTATATAAAAAAAATTGATGAATAATATAATCCATATTTATATATAATCATAGAGAAATGTATTGAAAAAACTGAGAGGTTTTATTTATTAAACTAAACAGTATAATTCCTTTTACTCAATTTTCTTAAAAATTTTATGCAATACGTATATGAGACACGATTATAATTAAATTTAATTTTAAGATACGTCAAGTTGACTTCGTGACAATTTTTAAAAAATTAGATTAGAAATAAAAAAATATGAACTGAATGGTCAGAATGTTTACTGCATTAGTCTATATATATATGTATACCTTTTTGTTAACTGTTGAATCATTTTCTTTTTCGTTACTGCTAATATCAGTATTTTCTTTGCGTAATGTTGCTGTTGGGAATTTCACTCGAGATCCTTTCTTAATGAGCTCTTCCACTTCGTCTTTTGTCTCTGTAAATATAATTAATAAATACACACAGGCAATTATTTCATTTTTCATTTCAAAAAGTTGTTGACTAAATTAAAAAATTTTATTATAACAATTAGATAAATTTGCATATATTTTTGTATATATCTGCAACTACATATAATTTTAAACTGAATAAGTTTTTAAAATTTGCTTGTTTATATTAAATCCTTTAAAAAGAATTGAGTAAATGATTATTAATTATTATTTATTAATTTATCAGAAAAGTTATATTTTCTCGGTTAACATTTAACTATTCATATTCATATGAATTAATTTAATTTTCTTGATGTCAAAATAAAAATAAATAAAACATAAAAATTAAAAAAACAGAAATTCATTTTATTTTGTCCAAAGTCAAGCGTAAATAAATTCATATCTGTTAAAAGTAATTATAATTAAAACAACATTGAGCACTTTGTATCAAAATAGTTATTTTTCAGGACAAGTCGCGATAAATAACAATCTATAATTCTATAATACTGAAAGTTAACTCCGTTCTTATATATGTATATATATATATATATAATGCTAGATGTGTGAAAAATGCGTATATATATATATACAGTACGCATTTTAAGAAAATGCAATATTTATTATAGGTTTTAAGTATTTTCTTATTTTGTACTTACTGTCGATGATTCCTATTACTGCCAAACATTTGCTGCTTCCGCATTTAACTTTGAATTCACGATTTTTATTTTCCTTGTATTTTTCAAAGTTCAATACATCTGTCACTGGCACAATGCAAGTACTTTTGTGTTGCCCAATTGGATTTTTGCATGGATTTATAAACTTAATATAAACGTGTTCAATTAAATTCGACATTTTGTGATAGCGTCTAAAAGCACAGTCGAACTAAACAAATGAATCTGTAAACAAACCGATCACCATGGTTCCGTAAAGTTGTACGAAGAACAGTACACACACATTGGTGCATTGCTTTGAAAAAATAGTCCCTAATGAATTCTTTAAAATAATCTGTGAAAATATAATTTCCATTTTATAGGATATTTCTTTTATACTTATTGAAATATAAATAAAAACATTATTATAAAAATGTATATCCCTTCGATTTCAAGTATATTTTCTTTACATGCTTTCATCAGCATATAAATTCAAAAATTATAAATAAAATTTTGAGGTGAAATATTACGTTGTTATGGGTGACAACTGTAAACAATGAACCAAATTTAGTTTAATTTATATTTAAAACTTATTTCAAAACGGAAAACTTAAAGAAATAGAAAATTGACAATTTAATAAGTTAAAGTTCTTTTTATATACTACATGTGAACAGTTCACATTTGTATTCAAATAAAAAGTGGATATATCCTGCCAGCAAAATTATTTAAAAGGTACGTTGAAATGGCTATACAACTTATTTGATATTTGTTTTTTATTAATTTAAAAAATTGGTTTCTTTTTTAAAATATGTTTAAATAATGTTATTTTCATTAAATAATTTAAATTCTTTCAACTTTCAATTTCGTGGAAAATGAAAAGCATTATATGATTAATATAATGAATTTTACTATATTTTACCTATGAAAAGCTCTAAATTTTTTAAAGTACAAATAAACAAATTTTTTTAACTTTGAATAATTTCGAAAAAGTTTAAAAAGTAATTCCATTAACATTAATTAATTTTGTAACGATATACAAAAAACGTTGTTTTAAATGTTCAAAATTCTAGAAACATAGCTTTATTTTAGTGAGTTTTTTATTTACGACCCTTATATGGTTTTATATCGGTATATTATTTTAATAAATTTGATCAATGACAATAAGATTGTGATGGTTTTTGAAAAATCTGAATAACCCTTAAAGCAAAATATTTTGTTAACGGGTTTCTCGCGTATTATTATTTCTTAAAATTTTTTAATTATATATATTAACAACATGCTTCTTTTTGATGGCAATCTAAAATAAGGTTAGGTCGTACGTTTGTATGTATGTATCTATGTGTGCTGTACATACATACAACGTCAATCACTTCAGTATAGAGCGTCCGAAGGAAGACACTTTGAAATTTTGAATTCTACCAATTAGCTGTTGTGCGCTCGCCTTAACGTACATACAAGCAAAAAAAGAACTTTGTCGTCTCTAGTTACTAAGTAGTTCGTGTTAATACCAGTTATCTTAGATTGATATTTTTTTAATGTTTAAATAACAAATAAATTGTTTAAAATATTTACAATATAAATAGTTTATTCACAGTTTAAGACCGATAAGCGTGTAAAAGATATTACAAAAAATTGTTGGATTATTGCCGCCATACAAACAAAATGTTTCTAAAATACGAGAAATTTTTAATAACAAACTTGAATTTTGATTTAAAAAAATGCCTATTTATTATTTTACTTTTATATTTATATACACATTGTATATTCAATCCAATTACTATCGGAAAATCACAACAGAATAATAAGTGTAAGCTCATATATTACAAAATGTTGATTCGCTTAGAAAATATTCAAATTTTTCGAAATCATTCATTTCTCTCATAAGTAAATAATGACAATTAAACATTATTTTTATATGTAAAAATTGTTTTATAGAATTTACAGTCTTATTAATACAACATTATATAAAGAGAAAATATTTTTATTTATATATCTTAGAAAACAAACAATTTCTCCTTGTTTTTACTTTTTCAACAGGCAGTCTGCATTCATTTGACTGAGTAAAATATTTTCAAAATATATTTCAATTTTTGTTAATATTCAATATAATATGTTTCTCTTGATGTTAAAATTTGGAGATTTTTTATTATTCAAAAATTTAGAAATACATATATGTATAATATGACATAAAATATAGCAATAATTTTATAACCTATAAAATTATAAATTTATAATTTAAATTTTCTTTAATTTTTCTTGTCATTTAGTACTTTCTATATTTAAGTAAACCTAAATTTAATAATTTCCTGTAAAATTACATATTTAATTTATGTTTATAGCAATGGATTCTGATGAAAATGAAAATGAGACAATTAATTAATTATACCTCACCCTTAAACAGTACGTCGAAGAAATCGTACTTTAGATTCAGCATTAGATACAGGTGACATATATATTGTATTGTTGCATAAGTTTATTTATATTGAATAAAGTATGATTTTTTATGTCACTGTTAATTATTAAAAACATTTTTTCAAGTAAAGTAAATTATTAAACTATATGTATTATAGAAATACTACTGCTAGAAAGTGAGATGTCCTGGGATTCGAATACAGATTGTGAAAATCAGGAAAATACGAATAACTTCAACTGCATCGCTGAAACTTCTGATTTTGATGTATTAATTAGATTTGAAAGAGCTAGTTCAGTCGGTAGGTGATGCTACATAATTTTAAAAATTTAATTGTTTATTAAACGAAAAGTTTGATTAGCAGCAGCGAATAGGTTTATGTATTTTTTATTTTATCATCGATTTCTTTATTTCCAAAAAAAACACTTTCCTATAGATTCAAAATTTTAATTTAAATAAGAATTTTAAACGCTAACAGTTCAAAAAATTTTTACTAAATAACTTTTAACATACTGAAGCAAGTTGATGAAAAATTATTACAAAATGACTTGAAAATACAAATTAAAAAATTATAGCTGTGCAAAGAGATAAAAGGGTGATATTTTTTTAAGTACGCTAATCCTAACTCATCACACACAAAACTTCAATTAAAAAAATTTTATTGCTCATGAAAAATTTGAGACAAATAATAATATCAGTTTAGGATATTATTTTTTCATATAAAAATTTTTTACTATAAATTTTATAAAGAATACTGAATATTAACGGAATTTCCTTGTTATTAATTTATAAAAAATGTATAAATGTGAATTTCATAATATTTAAAACCTTTTTCTTATAGAAGCACATGCAACAGCTCCCACGATGAGTCCTTTGCTAAATACATCACCTAATGACTACAAAGATTCATTTTCCTGCGATGAAAAATTGTATTCTCTACTTCAATCTTCAAATTCTTCGATTTCTAGTACCTCGTCTTCTTCCTCAGAAGATGAACATTGTAAACAAGTCAATTATCATCAGAATATAATCCAAACGGAGAATTCAAATTTGTCTGAATCTTCTAGCG